ATAGTATCGCAGTCTGTGGGTTTTGACCCCACTCAGGTCATGAAAGTTTACGTATGTATGTATGTCGTTATCTAATGATCATTACTTTCTAGTCTTGCCGCGCGCTAGTATTAGTCTACTGTTATCATTTTGTTGTAATTATCAATCTAGATTATGTTTGCACTTATGTAAATGAGCGGAGCAGTCTTTCATATGTCTTAATTAAAATGACATTAAAGTAACAGATGTAAGTCTGTCACACAAATCAGTCCCGTTCTATATTTATATGCAACGATATGAATCATAATGGATACTGTGCTGCTTTTTACGCACCACACAAAACTGAACTGTTTGTGGAATGACGTTTGTAAATTAATAGTTGTCATGGAACATCAAAAATTGTGCCATCTTTTTATAGTGTTGTGCCCGGGACCAAACCGTGCGTTTTTCCTACGTCATTTGCATGTTTGTAGAAGGAAAACAAAAACGACTTAGGAGCTGAGAAAGATACCTATAAAGAACTACCGCTGATAAATAATGTTTATAGTATGGATAGTATATGTCTTCTTATCTAATACCCATCTAAACCCCTTATCTTTTATTCTAAGGTACGTGGAGCACACAGATTCCGTCTGATATACATGCCCATCCTTGTAATTCATTCGACTCTAAATTACCTCTGCCTGATAAATCTTTGTTCATACATTTAGACTAAACAAACAAAAGTTGCAGAGAATTGAAACAAGCATTAATCCCATGTTATAATGAACCTATACACTACTGATTGCGAACCTAAAGATCGTTGTTGATATATGATGTCTCACTGTCAAACTGTTAACTTTTAAACACACGTGATCCTGTTCAAATATACGTACTTCTTCCATCCTCAGAACACAATTTCCGAACACTCACATTAATCAAGTTTTTTCGCTGAAATTATATACAGATATTAATCCTATTTTCATTGACAACCATTTTAACCTCCTTGGTTTTACCTTCTCAAGATGTCCTAGGCCATAACAGGATTATAATTCCTAAATGTCGTCCTTATATGACATCCTATAATTCGAACTCGGTCCAAATAACTTCCCTGAGTTTTTGTTTCAAACAAGTGTGTTAAAGTTTACCCACACACCAACCACGCACGTGTCACAACTCCAAAACATAAGAATTCTAACAATAACAGTCGGCCTATTTGAAGATACGCTCTGACGCATTATGAGTTCGTTTTCTATGAATTTATCCTCAGTCAGAATGTCCTACGCAGATTTTAACTCCTATAGATAGATGGGAGTCTATTAGCATCGATAAAAAGGAGGTTTGTACGCGGAGCGTAACAAGTAATGACAATCGATTGTCATCCATAATAGTTGAAATTCTTTCAAAGATTTCAACAAACGAACAACGTTCTCCTATAAAAGGGCTTGAAACTTGCACAGCCAAGCTTTACTGAGCTTTATTTCTTTCCATTATTAAGCAGACAAAACATTTCGTAGAATCTTGAAATGGGATGCACAAAAAATAATTGCTTCCTTCTCGTGGTTAAAATTTTATAATTCGGGCACAGCCGTCGATTACGGACCGTTGTATGGCAAGGTGGCTGATACGGAGCGTAACGAAGTACGTTCATATATATTGGCAGCGCCACCTCGTCTGCTCGTAATTAGTTACAAACGTTTTTGTAGCCTTCCTTCCCGTCTGCTGTTTGTAATTAATTCTACACATCATCGTCTAGGCCTAGGTGAGTTAAGAGGATTCTTCACAGCTCTGCTTATCGAGTAACAGATGTGATGCTGTCTTCTTTTGAATTACCCCCCCCCCCCGCTTTGATCTTACACTTACGACTGTAACAAATGACAACATTGATGCAGAATATACAGACCGAATCCAGGTGTCTAATTTGTGAAAACTAGATCAGGATAAGATAACCTGGTTGGATGCTCTTAAACTTTAAAGCAATGCATATAAATAAATAAATGAGCTCTCCATATAAGATTCCTTCTTGAGCTCCGTTAGTCAAACTACCGAGGTTTATTACCATATTCACAAGAGTCCGCCACTGGTACCTGTCCTGAGCCAGATTAATCCAGTCTAAATTCGCAACATGTAACTCTAAGATAAATTTCGATATTATGCTACCATTTATGCACATGTCTTCCGAGTGGTCTCTGCCCTTCTGGCTTTCTAATCAAAACATTTTAATCATTTTCTATCTCGTCATGCGCGTTACATGGCCCGCCCATCTCACCTTCTTCGATTTTATGGCCTTGTAATCCTGGGGTCTCGGGTTCGATTCCCGGCGTTGCCCGAATTTATAACTTGTGTTGGGCAAGGCCGTGGTCTAGGCAACACGGAGTTTTCCTACGGGGGCTTCCCCGGTTTCTCCGTGGCATCCCAACAATTACTCCATTCACACACAGAAGAAGGCAATGGCAAACCACTTCTGGATCATCTGCCAAGAACGTATATGAACAGGTCCCAGTCCGAGAAAAGGATGGAAGGATCCTGTTCATATGGACCTGTCGTCAGACAGAACACTAAATAAATAAAAAAAAATATTTAGTGTAAAGTACAAACTTTGGAACTCAGAATTTTGAAACGGATAAAGAGAAAAGTGAATGTGAGGATTTAGATTTTCTTCAACTCGCTCATCACATAGTCCGAGAGCAGGACCTGGTGAAAACTGTACGGTAACAAATATTAAAATTACGTATAAGATGTGAAATTTCTTGACCAGCGAAGCAACTTGCAGCTTCACAAGGAAGATTCTATTCAGTATCATTGTTATAGTCGTAGTTAGTGGGTTACGTTGCCGTCTTACTTGAATTTATACGGGCGTTATAAAATAATCAAATCCGTGTAGCAAACGCGGATGTTGAAATTACAAGGGTATAGAAGGTAATGTTATGAAGACGTATGAGAGAGTGGAATAATAGTTCCATTCATTTGTAACCTCTGCAAGTACAGCCCACACTGATAAGACTTACTTCGGACTGTGGGTGGCATTCTGTATTTTGCAAGTGAGTAATACACTGGGAATATTTTGACACGGTAAATACTGTAAGCTTCTTTTCCACAAAGAGAACATCGCATTTAACATTGCTATGCTGCTTGAAAAACACGTGTTTTAATTGTTAAGATGGATGTCCAGATACAGTATTTATAGGTGGGGTGGAGGAGGGGACTGAAAGCCCTAATTCCTAAACACGTCAGCAACATCCTAATTGCCGGACAGAGATATCCATAGATAAAGTGGCAATGAGTCTCATGTTC